CGATTGTTGGGTGCGATTTGTATATGTACAAGGCAGAGAGAAGAAATTTAAGCGCGCTCGCCGCGAATACGTCTGGCCAGTTGAATGTCCTTGGGCATGATTGTGACACGCTTAGCATGGATGGCACACAAGTTTGTATCTTCGAATAGGCAACCAAATAGGCTTCGCTAGCTTCCTGGAGTGCCATCACAGCTGAGCTCTGGAAACGAAGGTCAGTCTTGAAGTCTTGAGCGATTTCACGCACTAGACGCTGGAACGGGAAATTGCGAATAAGCAATTCAGTGCTCTTCTGGTAGCGACGAATTTCACGCAGAGCAACAGTGCCAGGGCGATAGCGATGAGGTTCTTGACACCGCCAGTAGCTGGTGCACTTTTACGTGCTGCCTTAGTGGCCAACTGCTTGCGAGGAGCCTTGCCTCCAGTTGATTTGCGAGCGGTCTGCTTTGTACGAGCCATTTTTTCTCTCTTTCACAATTCTTACTTTACACTGTCACTGTTAAAAAACACATAATCGAGATGCTCGCTTACGCATCGCTTATATAGAAAACTGGTGGTGAGTTAGAAAGAGATAGACATATTCGTTACTCATGTTAAATGCTATGCGCTCTACTCTACAAGTTGAGAGGGTAGTGTGTGAGAGGGATGCAAGCATTTGTGTGCTCCCTCGTGTTTTGGGTTTCTCGGTATAATAGAAGTGGATGTAACGATGCAGACATTAGTTTGTTTCTGACATTCGTGAAGTGTTCATTAAAAAGTAAAAAGTGAAAAATGACTGGTCGTGGTAAAGGTGGCAAAGGCTTGGGTAAAGGAGGTGCAAAGCGTCATCGCAAAGTGTTGCGTGATAATATCCAGGGTATCACGAAGCCAGCTATCCGTCGTTTAGCTCGTCGTGGTGGCGTGAAGCGAATCTCTGGACTTATCTATGAAGAAACTCGTGGCGTTCTTAAGGTCTTTTGGAAAATGTTATTCGTGATGCTGTCACATACACCGAACACGCCAAGAGGAAGACAGTCACAGCCATGGATGTTGTCTATGCGCTGAAAAGGCAAGGTCGCACACTGTACGGCTTTGGCGGTTAGGAAAGAAGAAAGTATAAAAAGCAACTTACACTCGCACCAATCGGTCCTTTTCAGGACCACCAACATGTTTCCCTAAAAGAGCTTGAAAATATAAAATTCAATATACATTTTTCGCAAACCAAATCGGTATTGGGCATATATTTAGCTGATGTTCAGTATTGGCTACGAAATGATCGAGAAATTGAATTAATTCCGTCTAGTTAAACCATTTGGTTTCGACATTTATGAAAAATTTGAAGCTATCAAAAAGAAGTATTGTGCATATTTCATATTCGAATAAGAATTCGATGTTACAGAAATCTTAGCTAAGCTGCGGTGAAAACTCGCGTGTATTTCAAGGGTACATTGCCAAATTTATAGTTTACATATCAGCAATATTAGCAATATTTCAGCTCAACATATTTGAAACCTTTGGAATATGGAACAGAAACACTAAATGACTAAATGAATGGCGATGACTGTACTTTTCTCAGCGTCTACCATCTGTAAATTTTCCCTTTATTTATTCTTATTATATACATATTATTTAGAATGTTTACGTATGAAAAAAGTCATCTCTTTTGTATAAATTGGTCGTCCTGAAAAGGACGTTTGGTTTCGATTTGCGTAAATTCGTTATTAGTAATTTAAGCCTTCTTTTCGGTCTTCTTGGGCAACAAAACTGCTTGGATGTTAGGCAACACACCGCCCTGGGCAATAGTGACGCCTGAAAGCAGTTTATTCAACTCCTCATCGTTGCGGATGGCCAATTGCAGATGGCGATGAGGATAATTCTGGTTTTCTTGTTATCGCGGGCTGCATTACCAGCCAACTCCAAAACTTCAGCGGCCAAGTATTCCATAACAGCCGCCAAGTACACTGGAGCACCGGCACCAACACGCTCGGCATAGTTGCCTTTGCGAAGAAGACGGTGAATACGACCAACGGGGAACTGAAGGCCAGCGCGGTTCGAACGCGACTTTGCCTTTCCCTTAACTTTTCCACCTTTACCACGGCCAGACATTTCTTAAATTTTTTTTTTTTTCACTTTAACACTGCACAAACAAGTATCGAATGCCCAGCCCTCTCAACAATATGACAACTTATACTTTTTTCACTACCTACTTTTTCAGGTAAACGAGGGTGAGTTGTGCTGTTCGCAAACATGAAAACGTTGTACAAAAAAAACCTATAAATGTTAAGCAATTTGTGTGCTTCTGTCAAACATTTGTGAAGTGAGTTAAAGTGAACTTGAGTGGATAATAACAATCATGCCGCCTAAGACAAGTGGAAAGGCAGCCAAAAAGGCTGGCAAAGCCCAGAAGAATATTACCAAGAATGATAAGAAGAAGAAGCGTAAGAGGAAGGAAAGCTACGCCATCTACATTTACAAAGTGCTAAAGCAGGTCCATCCTGACACTGGAATCTCGTCAAAGGGCCATGAGCATCATGAATAGCTTTGTGAACGACATTTTTGAGCGTATTGCTGCTGAAGCTCTCGTTTGGCCCACTACAACAAACGTTCTACGATTACCAGTCGGGAAATCCAAACTGCAGTCCGTCTTCTGTTGCCCGGAGAGTGGCCAAGCACGTGTCAGTGAAGGAACAAAGGCAGTTAGTTACCAAGTAACACTAGCTCCAAGTAAATCTTAGCTTGATGTATGCAGAACACCCAAGCAAAAGGCCCTTTTCAGGGCCAAAATCTTTTTTCAAAGAATATGAAATATTTCCCATGCTAACAAAAATTTCTGATTCTGATTCTGAATAGATTAACTTTAATTCTTATTGTATAAAACTTACTGAAGCAAATATATTTGCTTGCTATTCAAGAAAAACTATAAAATTATCGTTACTCCACAAATATCCCACTACAATTTCCTACGTTTTATTATGATAAAGTTGGACACGTAAAAACTATTTGACGAAAACAGAAATTAACATCGAATATATTTCAAATATTGCTGCTGACTAAATAGGATCCGTTTCTTTTTATATTACTTTTAACAGCAACAAGAAAGATACAGGTAGAAAAATATTTTTTTTCTCTTGGATATATAAAATTGTAGTCCTGAAAAGGACTTTGTTTATAGCAAATTTCATAGTTTGAAATTTGTTCATACTCTCTCTGAAGAGTATATTTCGATGTGAAATTACTTCTTTGTTGCAGACGCAGTTTTTGCCTTTGGCTTCTTGGCAGCAGCTTTTTTTGGCGACGCAGCCGCGACAACCTTCTTAGGCTAGCACTGGTGGTCTTAGGTTTGGGAGTTTTTGGCTTTGCTGCGCTTGACTTTGCCTTTGCTGTTGTGGGCTTGGCTTTAATAGTACCAACTTTCTTTGCATCTTTGGCCTTCGCTTTTTCAGCTTTCTTCTTGTCAACACTCTTTTTGGTCACCACAGCCTTCGACAACTTCTTATCAGCGACACCCTTTGGTTTCTTGGTAGCAGATATAGTTTTCTTTTAGCTGCTGCTGCCGACGAAGTTACCTTCTTGGATTTCTTCTCTACAGAGGACACCTTAGGCTAGGCTCCTTTTTGGAAGATGCAGACAACTTAAACGAACCAGATGCACCCTTGCCCTTTGTTTGAATCAACTTTCCATTCGCAACTGAATTCTTCAGGTACTTCTTAATGAATGGGGCTAGTTTTTGGGGCATCGCACTTGTAAGTGGCACTGATATATTTCTTTATAGCCAAAAGGGATGAGCCACCACGTTCCTTTAAATTTTGTATCGATGCGTCCACCATCTGCTGAGTTGGTGGGTGTGTTGGAGGAGCCGTTGTTTTCTTTGCCTTCGATGCGGATGCTGGCTTTTTAGCAGCTACCTTCTTCTCAGCTGAGGCTGTTTGGGGAGTCACGGGAGACGCAGATACTGCAACAACGGAATCAGACATTTTTATTCAGCACTTCTTTACTTCTTCACTATAAAAACAAATGCAACGTTTTTGTTTAATCGAAATTTGCCAGCTGCGGCATGGCATTTTGGTCACCCGTTTCAGTGAGAATCGAGGAGGAAGGCTACGCGAGAATGTTTTTGGTATTGAACGTTCGTTACACAGAAGTTTACAATTACCATTTTATTGATTTGTCTTTTTAAACAGTTTATACATGGAATTTAAACTAAATAGTTTATTGAACATATTCCAAAATGTTTGAAAAATTGAAAAAATAAGTTTTCAGTTTGTTAAATATGATTTAACGATTTTTAATTGCCATCTAAAGTTTGACTTTGTATGATAGCAAAATAAGATATCTTGGAAAAATCGCATTTTTAATTAAATAATAATGAAAATGTTAACAAATTATGTTGACAGATAATAATTCATTAATTTTTTTGTTAAATTCAACTATTAATATGAACATTCCTTATATCTTTATCTTTTAAATGCGATTTTAACTAACCCATTTGGTGTTGAAAGCAGACTTGCATTCGAGGCAACGCAATACAAAAATGGTTTGTAAAAATAAAATCTTCTCCTTAACAATAAATATATGTTAATAAAGATAATATTAGAAGAAAAATGTTTTATTTTCTTTACTTGCATCAAACATATAGTCATTTCATATCGTAATATTATATATATAATGCGATATACACTTCTCCCTCACCAAGAAATACAGTGATAAAATATTTTTTCATCTAAGCCACTTTATTTTATTAAGAAGAATGCTAAAATGTTTAAAAACTAATATAGTTTTATCTTCAATAGGAAGTGCTTATAAAAATAAAAGGAAAATCTCAGAAAAGAAATATATTATCTTAAGTTACATCAAACGTATCACACATTAACGATACGTTCACATTCGATATTCGCTTTAAAAATACACATTTTTTTGTTAAGCAAGAAACGTTTCCCTTTAACAAAAATATATTGAGATCCTTACTCAATTACTTGACTAGGACTAGGACTAGTTAGTGACATTTGCTCTAACCTACATTTTATTATGTAAATATAAACCTATATACTCGTTTCCTTTATTTTTATATCAACTCAAATTCAAAATGATTGTCGTTTAAACGAAAATAGGAATCTCCTTGTTATAAATATTGTGGTCCTGAAAAGGACCGATTTGTTGGGTGCGATTTGTATATGTACAAGGCAGAGAGAAGAAATTTAAGCGCGCTCGCCGCGAATACGTCTGGCCAGTTGAATGTCCTTGGGCATGATTGTGACACGCTTAGCATGGATGGCACACAAGTTTGTATCTTCGAATAGGCCAACCAAATAGGCTTCGCTAGCTTCCTGGAGTGCCATCACAGCTGAGCTCTGGAAACGAAGGTCAGTCTTGAAGTCTTGAGCGATTTCACGCACTAGACGCTGGAACGGCAACTTGCGAATAAGCAATTCAGTGCTCTTCTGGTAGCGACGAATTTCACGCAGAGCAACAGTGCCAGGGCGATAGCGATGAGGTTTCTTGACACCGCCAGTAGCTGGTGCACTTTTACGTGCTGCCTTAGTGGCCAACTGCTTGCGAGGAGCCTTGCCTCCAGTTGATTTGCGAGCGGTCTGCTTTGTACGAGCCATTTTTTTCTCTCTTTCACAATTCTTACTTTACACTGTCACTGTTAAAAACACAATAATCGAGATGCTCGCTTACGCATCGCTTATATAGAAAACTGGTGGTGAGTTAGAAAGAGATAGACATATTCGTTACTCATGTTAAATGCTATGCGCTCTACTCTACAAGTTGAGAGGGTAGTGTGTGAGAGGGATGCAAGCATTTGTGTGCTCCCTCGTGTTTTCGGGTTTCTCGGTATAAATAGAAGTGGATGTAACGATGCAGACATTAGTTTGTTTCTGACATTCGTGAAGTGTTCATTAAAAAGTAAAAAGTGAAAAATGACTGGTCGTGGTAAAGGTGGCAAAGGCTTGGGTAAAGGAGGTGCAAAGCGTCATCGCAAAGTGTTGCGTGATAATATCCAGGGTATCACGAAGCCAGCTATCCGTCGTTTAGCTCGTCGTGGTGGCGTGAAGCGAATCTCTGGACTTATCTATGAAGAGACTCGTGGCGTTCTTAAGGTCTTTTTGGAAAATGTTATTCGTGATGCTGTCACATACACCGAACACGCCAAGAGGAAGACAGTCACAGCCATGGATGTTGTCTATGCGCTGAAAAGGCAAGGTCGCACACTGTACGGCTTTGGCGGTTAGGAAAGAAGAAAGTATAAAAAGCAACTTACACTCGCACCAATCGGTCCTTTTCAGGACCACCAACATGTTTCCCTAAAAGAGCTTGAAAATATAAAATTCAATATACATTTTTCGCAAACCAAATCGGTATTGGGCATATATTTAGCTGATGTTCAGTATTGGCTACGAAATGATCGAGAAATTGAATTAATTCCGTCTAGTTAAACCATTTGGTTTCGACATTTATGAAAAATTTGAAGCTATCAAAAAGAAGTATTGTGCATATTTCATATTCGAATAAGAATTCGATGTTACAGAAATCTTAGCTAAGCTGCGGTGAAAACTCGCGTGTATTTCAAGGGTACATTGCCAAATTTATAGTTTACATATCAGCAATATTAGCAATATTTCAGCTCAACATATTTGAAACCTTTGGAATATGGAACAGAAACACTAAATGACTAAATGAATGGCGATGACTGTACTTTTCTCAGCGTCTACCATCTGTAAATTTTCCCTTTATTTATTCTTATTATATACATATTATTTAGAATGTTTACGTATGAAAAAAGTCATCTCTTTTGTATAAATTGGTCGTCCTGAAAAGGACGTTTGGTTTCGATTTGCGTAAATTCGTTATTAGTAATTTAAGCCTTCTTTTCGGTCTTCTTGGGCAACAAAACTGCTTGGATGTTAGGCAACACACCGCCCTGGGCAATAGTGACGCCTGAAAGCAGTTTATTCAACTCCTCATCGTTGCGGATGGCCAATTGCAGATGGCGAGGGATAATTCTGGTTTTCTTGTTATCGCGGGCTGCATTACCAGCCAACTCCAAAACTTCAGCGGCCAAGTATTCCATAACAGCCGCCAAGTACACTGGAGCACCGGCACCAACACGCTCGGCATAGTTGCCTTTGCGAAGAAGACGGTGAATACGACCAACGGGGAACTGAAGGCCAGCGCGGTTCGAACGCGACTTTGCCTTTCCCTTAACTTTTCCACCTTTACCACGGCCAGACATTTCTTAAATTCTTTTTTTTTTCACTTTAACACTGCACAAACAAGTATCGAATGCCCAGCCCTCTCAACAATATGACAACTTATACTTTTTTCACTACCTACTTTTTCAGGTAAACGAGGGTGAGTTGTGCTGTTCGCAAACATGAAAACGTTGTACAAAAAAAACCTATAAATGTTAAGCAATTTGTGTGCTTCTGTCAAACATTTGTGAAGTGAGTTAAAGTGAACTTGAGTGGATAATAACAATCATGCCGCCTAAGACAAGTGGAAAGGCAGCCAAAAAGGCTGGCAAAGCCCAGAAGAATATTACCAAGAATGATAAGAAGAAGAAGCGTAAGAGGAAGGAAAGCTACGCCATCTACATTTACAAAGTGCTAAAGCAGGTCCATCCTGACACTGGAATCTCGTCAAAGGCCATGAGCATCATGAATAGCTTTGTGAACGACATTTTTGAGCGTATTGCTGCTGAAGCCTCTCGTTTGGCCCACTACAACAAACGTTCTACGATTACCAGTCGGGAAATCCAAACTGCAGTCCGTCTTCTGTTGCCCGGAGAGTTGGCCAAGCACGCTGTCAGTGAAGGAACAAAGGCAGTTACCAAGTACACTAGCTCCAAGTAAATCTTAGCTTGATGTATGCAGAACACCCAAAAGCAAAAGGCCCTTTTCAGGGCCACAAATCTTTTTTCAAAGAATATGAAATATTTCCATGCTAACAAAATTTCTGATTCTGATTCTGAATAGATTACCTTTAATTCTTATTGTATAAAACTTACTGAAGCAAATATATTTGCTTGCTATTCAAGAAAAACTATAAAATTATCGTTACTCCACAAATATCCCACTACAATTTCCTACGTTTTTATTATGATAAAGTTGGACACGTAAAAACTATTTGACGAAAACAGAAATTAACATCGAATATATTTCAAATATTGCTGCTGACTAAATAGGATCCGTTTCTTTTTATATTACTTTTAACAGCAACAAGAAAGATACAGGTAGAAAAATATTTTTTCTCTTGGATATATAAAATTGTAGTCCTGAAAAGGACTTTGTTTAATAGCAAATTTCATAGTTTTGAAATTTGTTCATACTCTCTCTGAAGAGTATATTTCGATGTGAAATTACTTCTTTGTTGCAGACGCAGTTTTTGCCTTTGGCTTCTTGGCAGCAGCTTTTTTTGGCGACGCAGCCGCGACAACCTTCTTAGGCTTAGCACTGGTGGTCTTAGGTTTGGGAGTTTTTGGCTTTGCTGCGCTTGACTTTGCCTTTGCTGTTGTGGGCTTGGCTTTAATAGTACCAACTTTCTTTGCATCTTTGGCCTTCGCTTTTTCAGCTTTCTTCTTGTCAACACTCTTTTTGGTCACCACAGCCTTCGACAACTTCTTATCAGCGACACCCTTTGGTTTCTTGGTAGCAGATATAGTTTTCTTTTTAGCTGCTGCTGCCGACGAAGTTACCTTCTTGGATTTCTTCTCTACAGAGGACACTTTAGGCTTAGGCTCCTTTTTGGAAGATGCAGACAACTTAAACGAACCAGATGCACCCTTGCCCTTTGTTTGAATCAACTTTCCATTCGCAACTGAATTCTTCAGGTACTTCTTAATGAATGGGGCTAGTTTTTGGGCATCGCACTTGTAAGTGGCACTGATATATTTCTTTATAGCCAAAAGGGATGAGCCACCACGTTCCTTTAAATTTTGTATCGATGCGTCCACCATCTGCTGAGTTGGTGGGTGTGTTGGAGGAGCCGTTGTTTTCTTTGCCTTCGATGCGGATGCTGGCTTTTTAGCAGCTACCTTCTTCTCAGCTGAGGCTGTTTGGGGAGTCACGGGAGACGCAGATACTGCAACAACGGAATCAGACATTTTTATTCAGCACTTCTTTACTTCTTCACTATAAAAACAAATGCAACGTTTTTGTTTAATCGAAATTTGCCAGCTGCGGCATGGCATTTTGGTCACCCGTTTCAGTGAGAATCGAGGAGGAAGGCTACGCGAGAATGTTTTTGCTATTGAACGTTCGTTACACAGAAGTTTACAATTACCATTTTATTGATTTGTCTTTTTAAACAGTTTATACATGGAATTTAAACTAAATAGTTTATTGAACATATTCCAAAATGTTTGAAAAATTGAAAAAATAAGTTTTCAGTTTGTTAAATATGATTTAACGATTTTTAATTGCCATCTAAAGTTTGACTTTGTATGATAGCAAAATAAGATATCTTGGAAAAATCGCATTTTTAATTAAATAATAATGAAAATGTTAACAAATTATGTTGACAGATAATAATTCATTAATTTTTTTGTTAAATTCAACTATTAATATGAACATTCCTTATATCTTTATCTTTTAAATGCGATTTTAACTAACCCATTTGGTGTTGAAAGCAGACTTGCATTCGAGGCAACGCAATACAAAAATGGTTTGTAAAAATAAAATCTTCTCCTTAACAATAAATATATGTTAATAAAGATAATATTAGAAGAAAAATGTTTTATTTTCTTTACTTGCATCAAACATATAGTCATTTCATATCGTAATATTATATATATAATGCGATATACACTTCTCCCTCACCAAGAAATACAGTGATAAAATATTTTTTCATCTAAGCCACTTTATTTTATTAAGAAGAATGCTAAAATGTTTAAAAACTAATATAGTTTTATCTTCAATAGGAAGTGCTTATAAAAATAAAAGGAAAATCTCAGAAAAGAAATATATTATCTTAAGTTACATCAAACGTATCACACATTAACGATACGTTCACATTCGATATTCGCTTTAAAAATACACATTTTTTTGTTAAGCAAGAAACGTTTCCCTTTAACAAAAATATATTGAGATCCTTACTCAATTACTTGACTAGGACTAGGACTAGTTAGTGACATTTGCTCTAACCTACATTTTATTATGTAAATATAAACCTATATACTCGTTTCCTTTATTTTTATATCAACTCAAATTCAAAATGATTGTCGTTTAAACGAAAATAGGAATCTCCTTGTTATAAATATTGTGGTCCTGAAAAGGACCGATTTGTTGGGTGCGATTTGTATATGTACAAGGCAGAGAGAAGAAATTTAAGCGCGCTCGCCGCGAATACGTCTGGCCAGTTGAATGTCCTTGGGCATGATTGTGACACGCTTAGCATGGATGGCACACAAGTTTGTATCTTCGAATAGGCCAACCAAATAGGCTTCGCTAGCTTCCTGGAGTGCCATCACAGCTGAGCTCTGGAAACGAAGGTCAGTCTTGAAGTCTTGAGCGATTTCACGCACTAGACGCTGGAACGGCAACTTGCGAATAAGCAATTCAGTGCTCTTCTGGTAGCGACGAATTTCACGCAGAGCAACAGTGCCAGGGCGATAGCGATGAGGTTTCTTGACACCGCCAGTAGCTGGTGCACTTTTACGTGCTGCCTTAGTGGCCAACTGCTTGCGAGGAGCCTTGCCTCCAGTTGATTTGCGAGCGGTCTGCTTTGTACGAGCCATTTTTTTCTCTCTTTCACAATTCTTACTTTACACTGTCACTGTTAAAAACACAATAATCGAGATGCTCGCTTACGCATCGCTTATATAGAAAACTGGTGGTGAGTTAGAAAGAGATAGACATATTCGTTACTCATGTTAAATGCTATGCGCTCTACTCTACAAGTTGAGAGGGTAGTGTGTGAGAGGGATGCAAGCATTTGTGTGCTCCCTCGTGTTTTCGGGTTTCTCGGTATAAATAGAAGTGGATGTAACGATGCAGACATTAGTTTGTTTCTGACATTCGTGAAGTGTTCATTAAAAAGTAAAAAGTGAAAAATGACTGGTCGTGGTAAAGGTGGCAAAGGCTTGGGTAAAGGAGGTGCAAAGCGTCATCGCAAAGTGTTGCGTGATAATATCCAGGGTATCACGAAGCCAGCTATCCGTCGTTTAGCTCGTCGTGGTGGCGTGAAGCGAATCTCTGGACTTATCTATGAAGAGACTCGTGGCGTTCTTAAGGTCTTTTTGGAAAATGTTATTCGTGATGCTGTCACATACACCGAACACGCCAAGAGGAAGACAGTCACAGCCATGGATGTTGTCTATGCGCTGAAAAGGCAAGGTCGCACACTGTACGGCTTTGGCGGTTAGGAAAGAAGAAAGTATAAAAAGCAACTTACACTCGCACCAATCGGTCCTTTTCAGGACCACCAACATGTTTCCCTAAAAGAGCTTGAAAATATAAAATTCAATATACATTTTTCGCAAACCAAATCGGTATTGGGCATATATTTAGCTGATGTTCAGTATTGGCTACGAAATGATCGAGAAATTGAATTAATTCCGTCTAGTTAAACCATTTGGTTTCGACATTTATGAAAAATTTGAAGCTATCAAAAAGAAGTATTGTGCATATTTCATATTCGAATAAGAATTCGATGTTACAGAAATCTTAGCTAAGCTGCGGTGAAAACTCGCGTGTATTTCAAGGGTACATTGCCAAATTTATAGTTTACATATCAGCAATATTAGCAATATTTCAGCTCAACATATTTGAAACCTTTGGAATATGGAACAGAAACACTAAATGACTAAATGAATGGCGATGACTGTACTTTTCTCAGCGTCTACCATCTGTAAATTTTCCCTTTATTTATTCTTATCATATACATATTATTTAGAATGTTTACGTATGAAAAAAGTCATCTCTTTTGTATAAATTGGTCGTCCTGAAAAGGACGTTTGGTTTCGATTTGCGTAAATTCGTTATTAGTAATTTAAGCCTTCTTTTCGGTCTTCTTGGGCAACAAAACTGCTTGGATGTTAGGCAACACACCGCCCTGGGCAATAGTGACGCCTGAAAGCAGTTTATTCAACTCCTCATCGTTGCGGATGGCCAATTGCAGATGGCGAGGGATAATTCTGGTTTTCTTGTTATCGCGGGCTGCATTACCAGCCAACTCCAAAACTTCAGCGGCCAAGTATTCCATAACAGCCGCCAAGTACACTGGAGCACCGGCACCAACACGCTCGGCATAGTTGCCTTTGCGAAGAAGACGGTGAATACGACCAACGGGGAACTGAAGGCCAGCGCGGTTCGAACGCGACTTTGCCTTTCCCTTAACTTTTCCACCTTTACCACGGCCAGACATTTCTTAAATTCTTTTTTTTTTCACTTTAACACTGCACAAACAAGTATCGAATGCCCAGCCCTCTCAACAATATGACAACTTATACTTTTTTCACTACCTACTTTTTCAGGTAAACGAGGGTGAGTTGTGCTGTTCGCAAACATGAAAACGTTGTACAAAAAAAACCTATAAATGTTAAGCAATTTGTGTGCTTCTGTCAAACATTTGTGAAGTGAGTTAAAGTGAACTTGAGTGGATAATAACAATCATGCCGCCTAAGACAAGTGGAAAGGCAGCCAAAAAGGCTGGCAAAGCCCAGAAGAATATTACCAAGAATGATAAGAAGAAGAAGCGTAAGAGGAAGGAAAGCTACGCCATCTACATTTACAAAGTGCTAAAGCAGGTCCATCCTGACACTGGAATCTCGTCAAAGGCCATGAGCATCATGAATAGCTTTGTGAACGACATTTTTGAGCGTATTGCTGCTGAAGCCTCTCGTTTGGCCCACTACAACAAACGTTCTACGATTACCAGTCGGGAAATCCAAACTGCAGTCCGTCTTCTGTTGCCCGGAGAGTTGGCCAAGCACGCTGTCAGTGAAGGAACAAAGGCAGTTACCAAGTACACTAGCTCCAAGTAAATCTTAGCTTGATGTATGCAGAACACCCAAAAGCAAAAGGCCCTTTTCAGGGCCACAAATCTTTTTTCAAAGAATATGAAATATTTCCATGCTAACAAAATTTCTGATTCTGATTCTGAATAGATTACCTTTAATTCTTATTGTATAAAACTTACTGAAGCAAATATATTTGCTTGCTATTCAAGAAAAACTATAAAATTATCGTTACTCCACAAATATCCCACTACAATTTCCTACGTTTTTATTATGATAAAGTTGGACACGTAAAAACTATTTGACGAAAACAGAAATTAACATCGAATATATTTCAAATATTGCTGCTGACTAAATAGGATCCGTTTCTTTTTATATTACTTTTAACAGCAACAAGAAAGATACAGGTAGAAAAATATTTTTTTTTCTCTTGGATATATAAAATTGTAGTCCTGAAAAGGACTTTGTTTAATAGCAAATTTCATAGTTTTGAAATTTGTTCATACTCTCTCTGAAGAGTATATTTCGATGTGAAATTACTTCTTTGTTGCAGACGCAGTTTTTGCCTTTGGCTTCTTGGCAGCAGCTTTTTTTGGCGACGCAGCCGCGACAACCTTCTTAGGCTTAGCACTGGTGGTCTTAGGTTTGGGAGTTTTTGGCTTTGCTGCGCTTGACTTTGCCTTTGCTGTTGTGGGCTTGGCTTTAATAGTACCAACTTTCTTTGCATCTTTGGCCTTCGCTTTTTCAGCTTTCTTCTTGTCAACACTCTTTTTGGTCACCACAGCCTTCGACAACTTCTTATCAGCGACACCCTTTGGTTTCTTGGTAGCAGATATAGTTTTCTTTTTAGCTGCTGCTGCCGACGAAGTTACCTTCTTGGATTTCTTCTCTACAGAGGACACCTTAGGCTTAGGCTCCTTTTTGGAAGATGCAGACAACTTAAACGAACCAGATGCACCCTTGCCCTTTGTTTGAATCAACTTTCCATTCGCAACTGAATTCTTCAGGTACTTCTTAATGAATGGGGCTAGTTTTTGGGCATCGCACTTGTAAGTGGCACTGATATATTTCTTTATAGCCAAAAGGGATGAGCCACCACGTTCCTTTAAATTTTGTATCGATGCGTCCACCATCTGCTGAGTTGGTGGGTGTGTTGGAGGAGCCGTTGTTTTCTTTGCCTTCGATGCGGATGCTGGCTTTTTAGCAGCTACCTTCTTCTCAGCTGAGGCTGTTTGGGGAGTCACGGGAGACGCAGATACTGCAACAACGGAATCAGACATTTTTATTCAGCACTTCTTTACTTCTTCACTATAAAAACAAATGCAACGTTTTTGTTTAATCGAAATTTGCCAGCTGCGGCATGGCATTTTGGTCACCCGTTTCAGTGAGAATCGAGGAGGAAGGCTACGCGAGAATGTTTTTGGTATTGAACGTTCGTTACACAGAAGTTTACAATTACCATTTTATTGATTTGTCTTTTTAAACAGTTTATACATGGAATTTAAACTAAATAGTTTATTGAACATATTCCAAAATGTTTGAAAAATTGAAAAAATAAGTTTTCAGTTTGTTAAATATGATTTAACGATTTTTAATTGCCATCTAAAGTTTGACTTTGTATGATAGCAAAATAAGATATCTTGGAAAAATCGCATTTTTAATTAAATAATAATGAAAATGTTAACAAATTATGTTGACAGATAATAATTCATTAATTTTTTTGTTAAATTCAACTATTAATATGAACATTCCTTATATCTTTATCTTTTAAATGCGATTTTAACTAACCCATTTGGTGTTGAAAGCAGACTTGCATTCGAGGCAACGCAATACAAAAATGGTTTGTAAAAATAAAATCTTCTCCTTAACAATAAATATATGTTAATAAAGATAATATTAGAAGAAAAATGTTTTATTTTCTTTACTTGCATCAAACATATAGTCATTTCATATCGTAATATTATATATATAATGCGATATACACTTCTCCCTCACCAAGAAATACAGTGATAAAATATTTTTTCATCTAAGCCACTTTATTTTATTAAGAAGAATGCTAAAATGTTTAAAAACTAATATAGTTTTATCTTCAATAGGAAGTGCTTATAAAAATAAAAGGAAAATCTCAGAAAAGAAATATATTATCTTAAGTTACATCAAACGTATCACACATTAACGATACGTTCACATTCGATATTCGCTTTAAAAATACACATTTTTTTGTTAAGCAAGAAACGTTTCCCTTTAACAAAAATATATTGAGATCCTTACTCAATTACTTGACTAGGACTAGGACTAGTTAGTGACATTTGCTCTAACCTACATTTTATTATGTAAATATAAACCTATATACTCGTTTCCTTTATTTTTATATCAACTCAAATTCAAAATGATTGTCGTTTAAACGAAAATAGGAATCTCCTTGTTATAAATATTGTGGTCCTGAAAAGGACCGATTTGTTGGGTGCGATTTGTATATGTACAAGGCAGAGAGAAGAAATTTAAGCGCGCTCGCCGCGAATACGTCTGGCCAGTTGAATGTCCTTGGGCATGATTGTGACACGCTTAGCATGGATGGCACACAAGTTTGTATCTTCGAATAGGCCAACCAAATAGGCTTCGCTAGCTTCCTGGAGTGCCATCACAGCTGAGCTCTGGAAACGAAGGTCAGTCTTGAAGTCTTGAGCGATTTCACGCACTAGACGCTGGAACGGCAACTTGCGAATAAGCAATTCAGTGCTCTTCTGGTAGCGACGAATTTCACGCAGAGCAACAGTGCCAGGGCGATAGCGATGAGGTTTCTTGACACCGCCAGTAGCTGGTGCACTTTTACGTGCTGCCTTAGTGGCCAACTGCTTGCGAGGAGCCTTGCCTCCAGTTGATTTGCGAGCGGTCTGCTTTGTACGAGCCATTTTTTTCTCTCTTTCACAATTCTTACTTTACACTGTCACTGTTAAAAACACAATAATCGAGATGCTCGCTTACGCATCGCTTATATAGAAAACTGGTGGTGAGTTAGAAAGAGATAGACATATTCGTCACTCATGTTAAATGCTATGCGCTCTACTCTACAAGTTGAGAGGGTAGTGTGTGAGAGGGATGCAAGCATTTGTGTGCTCCCTCGTGTTTTCGGGTTTCTCGGTATAAATAGAAGTGGATGTAACGATGCAGACATTAGTTTGTTTCTGACATTCGTGAAGTGTTCATTAAAAAGTAAAAAGTGAAAAATGACTGGTCGTGGTAAAGGTGGCAAAGGCTTGGGTAAAGGAGGTGCAAAGCGTCATCGCAAAGTGTTGCGTGATAATATCCAGGGTATCACGAAGCCAGCTATCCGTCGTTTAGCTCGTCGTGGTGGCGTGAAGCGAATCTCTGGACTTATCTATGAAGAAACTCGTGGCGTTCTTAAGGTCTTTTTGGAAAATGTTATTCGTGATGCTGTCACATACACCGAACACGCCAAGA